GTCACATTTTTCTTCTCTGCGATTTATCATAACATTTTGTGTATATTTCCCTGTGCTATACAGTGTAATCTTGTTTATCTATTCTACAATTATCCCAGTCTATCCCTTCCTAAAATTGTAGTTAATTTATAATGTGTAAGTTTCAGGTATACAACATATGACTCATAATTTTTAAAAATTATACTCCATTTATATATATTATAAAATATTGGCCATATTCCTGGTGCTGTAAAATATATCCTTGTAGCTTATTTGTTTAATACATAATATTTTGTGCTTCTTAACCCCCTACCCCTATCTTACCCCTCCCCATTCCTTCTCCCCACTGGTAACCACTAGTTTGTTCTCTAGATCTGTGAGTCTGTTTCTTTTTTTGTTATATTCACTACTTTGTTGTATTTTTTAGATTCCACATATAAGTAAAACCATACAGTATTTGTCTTTCTCTGTCTGACTTACTTCACTAAAAATAATACCCTTCAGGTCTATCCATGTTGTTGCAAATGGCAAATTTTCAGTCTTTTTATGGCTGAGTAGTATTCTATTGTACATATATACCACTTGTTCTTTATCCTTTCATCTGTTGATGGACACTTAGGTTGCTTCCATATCTTTGCTACTATAAAGAATGCTGCTATAAACATTGGGGTGCATGTATTTTTCTGGATTAGTGTTTTTATTTTCTTCCAATATATACCCAGGAGTAGAATTGCTGGACCATATGGTAGTTCTCATTTTAGTTTTTTGAGGAATCTCCATATTGTAGTGTACAAGGGTTCGCTTTTCTCTACATCCTTGCCAACATTTGTTATTTGTAGACTTTTTGATCATAGCCGTTATGACAAGTGTGAGGTGATATCTCATTGTGGTTTTGATTTGCATTTCTCTGATGATTATTGATGTTGAGAATCTTTTCATGTGCCTGTTGGCCATCTGTATGTCTTCTTTGGTCAAATGTGTACTCAAGTCTTCTCCCCACTCTTTGATTGGGTTGTTTGTTTTTCAATATTGAGTTATATGAGCTATTTTTTGGATATTAACCCCTTATTGGTCCTATTTTTGCGAATATTTTCTCCCATTCTATAGGTTGTTTTTTCATTTTATTGATGATTTCCTTTGATATGCAAAAGTATTTAAGTTTAACTAGGTCCTATTTGTTTATTTTTGCTTTTATTTCTTTGCCTTAAGAGACAGATCCAAAAAATATTGCTATGGCTTATGTCAAAGTGTTCTGCCTATTTTTTCTTCTAGGTTTATTGTTTCAGGTCTTACATTTAGATCTTTAATTCGCTTTGAGTTTATTCTTGTATGTGGTGAGGGAAAATGTTCTAATTTCATACTTTTACATGTGGCTATCCAGTTTTCCCAGCACCACTTATTGAAGAGACTGTCTTTTCTTCATTGTATATTCTTTCCTCCTTTGTTGTAGATTAATTGACAATAAGTATGGGGGCTTATTTCTGAGTTCTCTATTCTGTTCCATTGACCTATGTGTCTGTTTTAGTGCCAGTACAATACTGTTTTGATTACTGTAGTTTGTAGTATAGTCTGAAGTCAGGGAGTGTGATACCTCCAGCTCTTCTTTCTCAAGATTGTTTTGGCTATTCAGTGTCTTTTCTGTTTCCATACAAATTTTGAAATTACTTGTTCTAGTTCTGTAAAAACACCATTGGTATTTTGATTAAGATTGCATTGAATCTGTAGATTGCCTTCAGTAATATGGTCATTTTGACAATATTAATTTTTCCAGTCCATGAAAAAGGTATATCTTTCAATGTGTTTTTGTCATCTTTCATCAGTATCTTATAGTTTTCTGAGTACTGGTCTTTTACTTCCTTAGGTAAGTTTATTCATAGGTATTTTATTCTTTTGGATGTGATTGTAAATGAGATTCTTCCCTTAATTTCTCTTTCTGATATTTCACTGTAAGTGTATAGAAATACAATTGATTCCGGTATCTTAATTTTGTATCCTGGAACTTTACTGAATTCATTCATGAGCTCTAGTAGGTTTTTGGTGGTGTCTTTAGAGTTTTCTATGTATAGTATCATTTAATCTGCAAACAGGAACAGTTTTACTTCTTCCATTCCAATTTGGATTTCTTTTATTTCTTTTTCTTGGCTGATTGCTGAGGCTGGAACTTCCAATATTGTCTTGAATAAAAGTGATGAGGCTGTCATCATTGCCTTTTTCCTGATCTTTGAGGAAATGCTTTCAACATTTCACCACCATTGAGCATGATATTAGCTGTGGGATTATCATATACAGCTTTTATTATGTTGAGGTATGTTCCCTCTATACCTACTTTATGGAGAGTTTTTGACATAAGTGGATACCAAATTTTGTCAAAAGATTTTTCTGCATCTCCTCAGATGACCATATGGTTTTTATTCTTCAATTTGTTACTATATCACATTAATTGATTTACAGATACTGAACCATCCTTGCATCTTTGAGATTAAATACCATTTGATCATGGTGTATGATCTTTTTGATGTACTGTTAGATTGCTAATATTTTGTTGAGAATTTTTGGATCTATGTTAATCAGTGATACTGGCCTGTAATTTTCTTTCTGTGTGTTATCTGTGTCTGGTTTTCATATCAGGGTGATGCTGGTCTCATAGAATGAGTTCAGAAATGTTCCTTCCTCTGCAGTTTTTTTGGAATAGCTGGAAGATAGGTGTTAACTCTTCTTTAAATGTTTGGTAGAATTCATCTATGAAGCCGTCTGGTCCTGGATTTTTGTTTATTAGAAGTTGTTTTATTACTGATTCAATTTCCTTACTGGTAATTGGTCTGTTCATATTTTCTATTTCTTCCTTGTACAGTCTTAGGAGATGGTACCATTCCTAGGAATTTGTCCATTTCTTCTATGTTGTCAATTTTATTGGCTCATAATTCATAGTAATCCCTCATGATCCGTTACATTTCTGTGGTATCAATTGTACCTTCTTTTTTTATCTCTGATTTTATTCATTTGGGCCCTCTCTCTTTTTTTTTTTTTGTTTGATGAATCTGGCTGAGAGTTTATCTATTTTGTTTATCTTTTCAAAGAACTAACTCCGTTTCATTGATCTCTTCTATTGCATTTTAGTCTCTATTTCATTTAGTTCTGCTCTGTTCTTCATGAATTTTTCTCTACTAATTTTGGGTTCTTTGTTGATCTTTACGATCATTACCCTGAACTCTTTTGCAGGTAGATTGCCTGTCTCCACTTCACTTAGTTCTTCTGGGGTTTTATCTTGTTCCCTTGTTTGGAACATGTTTCTCTATTGTCTCATTTTGCCTAAGTTTCTGTTGGTGTTTTTATGTTTCTGGTAGGTTGGTTATGTTTCCTGATCTTGGAGAAGTGATATTTTGTGGGAGAAATGCTATATGTCCCAGCAGTGCACTCCTCTCTTGTTACCAGAGCTAAATGCTCTAGGTGTGCACCCTATGTGGGCTGCATGTGTCCTTCTGTTATGGTGGGCTGACTACTGTGGGTGGTCTGGTAGGCATGGCCAGCCCCTAGTCTGGATGGTTGCCAGGTCCTGCATTGTTCAGAGGCTGCTAACTGCTGGTTAGTGAGGCTGGGTCACTAGGCTGCTGGCTGTGAAACACCAAGGGGCCTCAGGGATAGTGCTGGCTCACTAGTGGATGGATTCAGGGTCCAGGAGATCCCAGGGCTGGTGCCCACCCACTGGTGGTTGAAGCCAGGTCCTCAAGCTAGTGGAGGCCCACTGGCCAGCAGAGCCATTTCCTATGGTCTGGCTGCAGAGCCCAGGGCTCCCAGGGCTTGTATCAGACTGCTGGTGAGTGGAACCAGTTCCTGCCACAGCTGACTGCATGGTCTGGGGTGTCCTGAAG